GAATAACTTATGGGGCAGTGATTCATACTGGAAACTGGAAAGGATGGAAGTTGGAATACAGACCTCTTCATCAGTTCTCGGAACCAAGGTACCAGCCATTTCTAAAGGTTGTATAATTTGTCTAATTCCACGAAGATCAGACACACTGGCCATTCGTGTTCCCTCATAAAGATCACTTGAAACAAAAAGTTCATTGTTCATATCAGTTAATGGATCAAAAATGGCCTACGAATTGCTTTTAGTCTTCTTAAATTGAATCGCTCCATCTCGTTGGGTAACCATTTGGATTTAGTTCTTAGTTTTTTAAAATTAAACTTTTAAAAAACAACCAAGATTTGAAAGCTATAATAGTACGTGAAACTATTGTCAAGCATATCCATTGTTTGAGTTGAATTTCAATAATATAACTTTGAGAAAAAGATATATAAAAAAAAAAAAAAGAGAGACTTGCCTGGCTACCATAGTGCCCATTCCATCTCTTTTAAACAATTCCAGCAATAAAACTCCTCCAATAGTGCCATCTAGCAAATGCACTCTTTGAACACCACCCTAAAAGTATTACAAAAAATTCAATAAAGCCCATTTCAGAACAATCATCAACATGAACTGAAAATAATTCATTCAACAATCATCTGGATAATTCTGCTAATTTTCCAAGAACTAACAGCTACTGAGCCACAAACCAAATATAAAAGGCTAAGGTAACGATAACCAAGGAATTTTCTTAGGGAGGGGGCAAATTTTGCATGCTAACTTTCATATATAATCTTTCAGTTCTAAAATTTAGGGGGCGAACTAGAGGAAATCAACAAAACCTACAAAATCTCAAGTATTTTATACCTAACTTTTGATAGCAGGCCTCGATTCATTGAAACACATGATTATGCATTGTTTCTTGTTCCTGAAATGGACGTGTGTGTGTGTGTGTGTGTGTGTGTGTGGGAGAAAGATGAAGACAGTTCATGTGAAGCATAAACTTAAGGCAATAAAAGAACAAAGGAAATACCAGACACACCATGTAGGAACATGTTCAGATTTAATAACCAGTAGTATGAAGGATTTACCCGGCAAACGAAAGCTGCAGCAGCCAATTCTGAGAGGTAACCATTCAAATGGCTATTCCGCTCACCTCCAATGGGAAAACCCTGTTCGGAGGACCAAAGCCCGCTCCCATGACCAAAACCAACTCCATTTTGGAATACTGGGACGTGGTGGGAGCCAAAACCTACTCCGTTCGGGAACGTTGGAGTATGATGGATACCCCCGTTTGAATCGTCATTTATATAATGATTTGAATGAGTGAAACCTTCCTTGCCAACAACTTTCACATAATTTGCAGCTATCTCACAATGCTTAGCCCTTTCACGAATCAACTTGTCTGCTTCTTGAAGAGTGAGAAAACTGATATGGCGTCCAGTTTCATCAAGAATAGGACCATCAATAATGCATATAAGCTTGTCAGCTCCAATAGCCAAGGCGCATGCTGTCGCAACCTCATATGTACTGAAATCCAGACAACAAAATCATCAGTAATGGCTCTTCCTCTTAGTGATTTCAACTAAATTTCCATCCCTTTAATATAAGCACTACATTTATAGAAATCAAAAACATATTAGGACTATCAAGCCTCATTGCATACTTGCAATTCAGAACTTCGCCAGAACTAGAATAACCAAGGTTGCTCAATATAACTATACAACCACCATCAAGCCTCTCGCGCATACGAGCTACGTCTACTTTCTTAACTTCACCCGTTGCTCCATAATCAACACCATCAACAACTCCCCTTCTCTGCAAAAGGAGTTGCGTCTTATTCAACGAATTTACAGTAAACTAATATCACAGATCATCAAAGAAATATCATATGGCGTTTCATCCCAAATACCACATTAACAAAACAAAAAGATCTGTACCTTAGCAGCAAGAAAGTTGCCACTAACAACGCTTACACCAACTTCATGCCATCGTCTACTGTCACCATGTCTACGAATATTGCAGATAGAAGGTCCGGGGGAAAGCTTTGCCTCTATCATCACACGGATTCCTCCAGCTGCTTCCATTGCAGCTGCTAGAGATTGGTTGTCAGTCACCCTATATTGACCGACAAAATTCGGCTTGCTTCCTGTAATGGGTACAGACAATTAACGTTAAAAAATATATTAAGGACAACATTGAGAAAAGGAAAACTAGAAACAGAACAAATTCTTGTTCTGGTATACTAAAAGAATAATAATAAAGTGACCCACGTCCTTGGTTTCAACAATATTGCATATAATATATAAAAGCATCAAGTTACAAACCTCTCTCTGCCAAAAGTTTGTCAATTAAAACGTGGGTTCCTGGAACAAGAATGAACCTGATTCCAAGGTGATGTAGAAACGCAATATCCTGCACATACAAATGGCTTCAATGTGATAACTGAAGCCAAAACCAAAACTAAAGAAATACATCATAGAACAACACGGATTTTATCAAATATAAACACGGGAACAGACACATTAAATAGACGATTATAAGACCTGCCTTTAGAATAAGATCTAAGTTAGAGCTAGATACAATTTCCCCAGAAATCATCACAACGAAAGTGCCTCCTCTATGTGCCCATAAGTAAGGCCAAGCCTCCCTAAACCACCGCACGAACTGCTTATCCTCTATGGAGTTATAATCCTCTTCCTCTTCCTCTACGTCCACAGCGCCATTTCCGTAGTTGAATAGAATGAACTTTCTCGACTTTTCCCCAACTTTCTTCAGTCCCTTGCCCCACATTTCTACTCTATCGAATTTAAACTTTGCCTTCCCATTTCTTAGACAACGGGTACAAGGGAGGTCGTTCGAAGGAAACTCTCGCCGAGTCTGTAAAAGTAGCCGAGAGCTTGAGAGAGTTGTAGACATGGCAGACGAAGCGAGAAAAGGGAGTGACAATATAGAAATGTGGAGGTTATAAGTCATAGACAAGCCGCCAAACACCGCCGAGAGAAGGGTCGTAGGATTTTGGGCCTTTTGGGCAATCAAGCTCCTTGCTTTCCAAATGGGCTGAGTCCAATTCTTTTGGGCTAGTAGCTATCGCGATATCAGATTCTTTGGAGCCATTGAAAAGAGAAGAGCAGCGGCCATTGGAAGAGAACAAGAAGCAATTAAAGAAGCAGACGCGACCAAAAGAAAATGTCGTGAAAGCTTTCGTTTTACAGATGGCCTTTGTCGCTCGCTGTTTTCTAACATTATTTAAAGCCCCTCAAGCAACGAAGAGACGAAAAGACGCAGGAATCAAGATAAGAGAGTAACAAAACAAAACCCTGTCTCTATCTATCGACACTCAACTTGTAAAAGCACTTCTATTCTGATGTAACCCTTCAAAGCGCTTCCACTTCACAATACTTCCAAAATCGGATTTTCAAGAAACCAAAAACATAAAAAGGTAACAAACTCCAAAGCTTTTACTTTTTTGAGTTTAAAATAATTAAACAAAAAGAAACTTTTTTTGTGGCGATGTAAACAAGGGTGTCTACTCGATGATTTCTCTATCTCGGTTAAGTCCCCAAGCAACTAAAACTAAGACTAAGACTACAGTGCATAATCATCCGCCAATGACAGAGAATTGAAAGAAACTTTTTTTTTTTTTTTTTTTTTTTTTTTTTTTTTTTTTTTTTTTTGTCAGGAAAGGAGGAAGAAAGACCTCGAGCAAGGCATGGAGGCGAGGACTAGCCACAATTTCGGCAGATATAACGACGACAAAAGTACGGCCTATATGGGAGAATATATAGGGATAAGCATCTCTGAATTCTTCAATAAACCTCCTATCTTCTTCAGGAACTTTATCATACGCATCATTTTTAGCCTCCCCCCGTTTGCCGCCTCTCACCGCCGCCAATCCCCAGTTCCATTTTCTTCTCCCATTCTCATGGCATGTCGGATCCTGAACTGTCCGCCGCAAATAATTCTCTCTGCACCCACGCTCGACACCCACCGCCTTAAAATCAGACCAAATTTTCCAGTGATTACTATTCGGGAAAACCCACGTCCTCGATGTGGGAGTAGCCATCGCCACCGCCACCGCCACCGCCGCCGCTTTTATGGAAATGAAACAGAACCTTAAAAAAGGGACTTTATTTAGAACTGTATTAGGAAATTGAGACAGAGGAGAGGAAGAAGAACGGTGAACGCGGCGAAACGGTGGGGGAGAAAAGAATCAGCCGACAAGAGTAAAAATAATTTTGGGGAATATTCTGTGGCAATAAAATAGAAGAACAGAGAAGGGGTAGGTGAAGTTCAATTTTGAGCCGATTCTTTTATTTTTATATAACAATTGATCGATGGCAAATGAGAAGGTAATGACTGATGACCTCTGCATTCATTGGACAATAATTATTTATTTAAAAAAAAAAAAAAAAAAAAAAAACAGACCAACCACTGTGAATCCAGGTCAATTATTTATATTCATTTGGGTTGAGCTCAGCAGGAGAAGGGAGAAGATTTCAAAGGACACGTGGAGAAATTATTATTTTTTCTTTTTTTCTTTTTATGGTGATATGATAAAGTAGGCCAATACGAGAAATACGATGAGAGCCCAATGGGCCATTTAAGACGCACGCTAAAATGCAAGATTGAAGCCCAATTCTCATTCTATTGGAGATTGGGCTTGTAAACATCATCAATTCGGCATAGGCCCAAATTATGACCAAAGCGATTTATCAGTGATTTATTTAGTTATTTATTTATTTATTTTAGTGGCGAGTTGAGACAAAAGTTGAAGACCCAATCATTTCTTTTTTGGCAGCAAGAGCGAATTGGTTATTTTCCCAGAAAAAGATGGAAGAAGAGGAAAGTACCCAGCCCACCTCCCAAGATTTGATTATTAGTGCTCAAAATAATGCAATAATAAGACAACCAAGCCGAACCAAAAAGTGGGGTACGTTTTTGAAGGACCGTGGGAATCCAATCAAAGCAGCCCAAATTTTTGAACCCACAGAGAGGTAACAAAAAAACGCCTAAAAGGTTTTGAAGAACAGTGATTGAGGAATTATATAATATGATCTCGGGCATAATTTACATTAAAGAAAACTCATGGAACCATCTTAGACTAATTAAGTTGGGTGCAGAGTTTAGATGGAAAGAACTTAATAATGCTGCAGAGGCCGAGAGATGACATATAAACGTATAAAGATAGAGATCGGGTTAATTAATTCCAAATTCTTCAATGCTCTGTAAAGCTGGCCTCCATTGACATCCACCCCCATAATGCTTTCCCATACTTCTCTGTCCTCCTCCGCCTCCGCTGCCGCCGGCATTGCTGCTTTCCAGGCGACGCTCCGGCTGACCATATTAAAAAAGAATTATGTTAGCATCATGGTTTGATTAGATCCCAATGATGAAAAAGTTGGAATGTTCACGTTCATTTGAAGATATCGGTTTATTTAAACTTTATGATTATGATGAAAGCAAAGGCGCGTGATATGAGGTAGATTTTTGTTACTAAAATCTAGTTAAATATTATAAAATTGAAGACCTCCGCACTCTACAGACAACTCTACTTCAATTCCTGACATGATTGATGAAGTGATGCACAAAAAGGGTTTCTCTCGATATGCGTGGCCTGTAATTAATGGATTTTGTTTTTTCTTTTCATTTTTGGCTTTTAATCACACTGTAATCATGAAAACCAAATCCATTAATTTTCCCATCCATGTTGTTGATTGTTTTTGGATTCGGAGAATGATTATGAGTTATGGGTATTTGATTACCTTCCTATGATTTTGGGATGAATTTGAAGCAGAATCCGAGGGCTTGATCTTCATCCCCACCGACAGTGCTCCTCCCTCTCTCAGCAACTTCCCTAATTTCACACATTTCTTCGCAGCAAACTCCTTCAGCACATCTGAATGGGAAAAAATAATAAACTTCGAAAACTGTATAAAAAATTTAGAAAAGAGTGTATAAAATTTATAAGAAAACAGTAAAAACCTTCGAATGAGATGAGACGATAGACATGGCCGATGAGAAGAGTGTCATCGGGACGGAGTAGCTTGAGCTGCTTGATTGGGTTTCCATTTTGGGAGTTGAAAGTGGAGGAGGTGAGGAGGAGCGCAACGTAGTGGCCGGGGTTGGAGTTCATGATCTCGTGTGCACTTACGGACCAATAAATCCTCTCGATCTTGTGATTCCCAGGGTGGTGGATGACCACCGTGGCCGCTTCCGCCGCCTGACAGTTCCCCATCCTCTTCTGAACTCAACAACTCCAAGTGTGTGGTTTTTGAAGGAGGGAGAGGGTAGCAGAGTATGAACTTCGAGTAAATGAGTCTGACGCTCTCTTTGATTGCCCTCTCGAAGACGCACGTCAAGAATCTCCACTCTGAACAAATGACGATTTTTTTTTTTTTTTTTTTTAAATTTAAAAGAATGGAATGAAGTTGGTGCTGTTGGATGATGAAAGTCTCACATCCGTTAATTTAGGGAATGGTCATGGGTTTATAATCTAAGAATACACTCTTTATTGGTATGAGGCCTTTTGGGAAACCCAAAGCAAAGCCATGAGAGCTTATGCTCAAAGTGGACAATATCATACCATTGTGGAGAGTCGTGTTCGTCTAACATGGACAATATCTAACTATATCTGATCCGGAAAGATGGTTGTTTGTTTTGTAGTTTTTTGCCAACAAAAAAAAAAAAAAAAACAATTTTAACTATGAACTTTGAATTTTATCCAAAAGAATATTTGACCCAATTTAGACTAAAATAATATAAACATGTTTGTATGAGTAAAGGGGCCTGAGTTTCTGACTTCAGGTTTGAGGGACGGTCAGAGTTGGCCCTAAGAACCGGATTGGACCGGATTTGTTTTTTCTTTTTCAGAAATGGGTTGCTGACGTGGACACTTCAAAATTTGACCGAAGCTAATCTGCCCACGCCAAAACATATTCGCTATGCCTATTACTTTTTTCCCTCTGGAAAAAAGAAAAAATAAATAAATTTATATATATTAAACCATCCGTTTAAATTAATTTTTTAATCATTTGAGTGTATATATTATTTCATTAATGGGCCTGGGAATTGAATGCGGGCCGCGGGCATGTACAGCCCAGTTATACAATTACTCATTATCAAAATCTTTTACTCATAATTACTGTAATTAATTATAAAATAAATCCTAGTTTACTTAGGGAGGCAGGGTTTGAAATTCGAATATTAAATCCACTTGGGTATTATCGATTTGGATTTATGGCTATTAAAAACTTAAATCAATAATTTAAACATAACTCAGTAATAATTTAAACATAACTCAGTTCTTCACGTCTAAACAAAGCTTTGCGGTTTGAGGTTGCGCCACCTAATATCCATCTTCGCATCTTCGCATCTCGACAACGAATCTCCCTCCCTCTCTCTTTCTCTCCTCCTGGGGGTCTCCAACATTGGGATTTCTTCGTCATTTAGTGGTTAGATTTTTTTATAATCCCTTTTTAATGCAATTCTTTTGCTTTCTAACTCGATCGTCCGCGATTTTTCTCGACTCCCCTTCTGCTTCTTCTCCTAATTGCAGGTTTCAGTCCGCTAATTTTGATTGTTTTCCCTTGCTGCTGCTAGAGTGTGGACGAGGGTTTGCTTCTAAGCCTCTCTATTCTTCTGGGCTTATTCCAATTCTAGGTTTTTTCTTTTTCTTTTTCTTTTTGCTTATTCTGGGGCGTTACTTTCTGCTTCAATTCTCCATGTTCTGAACGTGTTTTTGGTTTCTGATTTTACCTCTGAGTTTGGTTTTTGGAAGAAGAGGAAATGTGAATGGTATATTCTAAAAATTTATTTAAAGACGTAAACCAGTCGATCATTACGGGAAATAAGAAGTTTATGATCTGGGTTGAGACAATTTTCAATTGTTTCTTGTTTTGAATTGATCGGGTTGAGGAAGAATAGGACGGTTGAAGTTCATAGCGCGTTGTTCAATTGGTTGAGCAGGGAATGGATGCGATTGATGAAATGACTGAGAAATTTAAAACTAGCGCTGAAACAACGGAGTGCCATCAAAGGTATCGTTGGAAGGAGGGAAAGGGGAAAAGACTTTGGAAGAAGGTGAAGTATCAGCTGGTTGAGTACAATGCTTTACCAGCCTACTTGCGGGACAACGAATTCATTCTGGGTCATTACCGTGCTGATTGGCCTATGAAGCAGACACTGCTCAGCATCTTTTCCATTCACAACGAGACTCTTAATGTTTGGACGTAAGCCTTAAGACTGATATTTAATGCTCAGCATCAGATTTTGCAATGAAGTTTGCCTAAGACGTATATTTTCTTCTTTACTGTATGTTTCATTTGAATACTGTATGTTTCAGGCATTTACTTGGATTTTTCCTCTTTCTTTCCCTCACCATATACACTGCAACAAAGATTCCTGACGTTGTTGACATTCATCCTCTTCAACATTTGCCTGACGTGTTTAAAAAAGCTGATATGCACAAATTGCAAGCGGAACTGCTGTCCTGCCTTCCTTCCTTGCCTCACTTCCCTGATCTGCAGAAACTCAGGGAGGAGTTGAAGACTGCATTGACTTCAATGGATATGCTTTCATCACTGTCTCGTTGGCATGTGGTGGAACTTCTATACAATTGTTTACCTCAGCGATTCTCCCATGGAAATCAAACTGATGTCTGTGCTCTGGTAAGCTATATGCTCAAATCTAATCTTGGGATTTCCAGGCCATTTTTATTACATTCTATGAATTCAAACCTTATTAGAACCTTCCTGAAGAACCTGATTTTAGTATATTCCGAAATTTTACATGAAATTATCCTATAAATTTCCTAACTTCTGCTGGCCTAATCAAGATTGTAGTTGCTATTGTTATGTGGACTATGATATTTATATCCCAACAGAAGTTTTTTCTTCATTGAAGATGTCCATTAAGTCAGTATATGTTATTTGCTCTGTTCTTATTTTCCTTTTCTTTTATTTCATTCAGAGAAGTATGAAGGAGGACGTTGCCAGCATGATTGCGCCCTTAGCTACGAGACCAATCACTCGGTGGCCTTTCTTTGCATTCTTGGGCGGGGCCATGTTTTGCCTGCTTGCTAGTAGCACTTGCCACCTTCTTTCCTGTCACTCTGAGCGTGTCTCATACATAATGCTCAGGCTGGACTATGCCGGAATTGCAGCCCTTATATCTACCTCCTTCTACCCCCCCGTTTACTACTCCTTCATGTGCCACCCCTTCTTTTGCAGTCTCTATCTGGGGGTCATTACTCTCATGGGAATTGCAACTATCTTGGTGTCTCTGCTGCCAATGTTTCAAACCCCCGAATATCGCACGTTTCGGGCATCCCTCTTCCTCGGCATGGGCTTGTGTGGGATCGCCCCTATTCTGCACAAGCTTATCCTGTTCTGGGGCTCACCCGAAGCACTCCACACAACAGGATATGAGGTACTGATGGGAATCCTTTATGGGCTTGGAGCCTTGGTTTATGCAGCAAGGATTCCGGAGCGATGGATGCCTGGAAAATTCGACATTGCTGGCCACAGCCACCAACTATTTCACATTTTAGTAGTTGCTGGGGCGTATACTCATTATCGCGCAGGACTGATTTACCTGAAGTGGCGCGACCTGCAAGGTTTTTCAGATTAGAATTTCAACAAGGATTTAGCGTGCTGGAATGTATCTATGTAATACATCACTGTAAGATCAGAACCTGCTTAATGCTGCTCTGCCTTATCATTTCCAACAATATTACAATGATCTGTCTGATGAGCCTTTCCACTGCCCAACTCCTACTATTTTGAAATGTTAATTACACACAAAGTTTATATCTAATAGATAATGTTTGAATTAATGTTAGAGATGTATTAGAGGGCACTTTTCAAAGTAAAAGGAGTGAGAATAACTGAAATAAAAAAAGAAGAATTTGGGAAGAATGGGAGAGAGAAACAGGGAACAGATTCTGACGCTCTTCGCGCACTTGGATTTCTCCAAAAACTGTTCCTAATTTAATGTTTCGGTTCCAATGACCAAATTCAATTGTGTCCACTCTGTTACTCCAAGCTTACCATTTTTTACCCACAACACTCCGCAACCCTCTTCATTCCTCATAACTCTGAACTACTCATAAACATTCACATGGCTGTTGACTTCAAAATCACTTTTAATGCACCATGCTTGCCCCTGACTTCTCTCACTTCCACTCCTCTTCTGCTTCCATCCATGGCCAAACCCACTCTTCGCCACAAGGCTTCCCCCTGTCTCGCCCACGCTCTACGCTTCCTCGCCGGCTCATTCCTTGTTTTTCTTCTCCTCTTGACCCTTCCTTCATTCTTTACTCCTATCAACCCCGCCACTAATTTGGACTCCTCAAACACCAAATTCGACCGCATTGACCCGCCGTCAGATGCGTCCTCTTCGGTAAATTCTCAAAGCCATCCATCTCTGCCCTACGACCCACCGGATATTACCTTTTACGATGACCCCAAACTCAGCTACTCCATAGAGAAGCGGATCGAGCAATGGGACGAGAAGCGCCATCACTGGCTGAAACAGCACCCTTCGTTAGCCACCGGAGCCGGCGAGAGGGTGCTTCTTCTCTCGGCGTCGCAGCCTGCGCCGTGCCCGAACCCCATTGGCGATCACTTGCTTCTGAGATTCTTCAAGAACAAAGTGGACTACTGCCGAATCCACGGCTACGATATATTCTACAACAATGCACTGCTGCACCCGGAAATGTTCTCGTACTGGGCGAAGCTGCCGGTGGTTCGAGCTGCGATGATAGCTCACCCAGAGGCCGAGTGGATTTGGTGGGTGGACTCGGACGCTCTGTTCACCGACATGGAATTCAAACTCCCACTGGATCGATATAAAAACCACAACTTTGTCGCCCACGGCTGGGCCCACCTGATTTACGATCGGAAAAGCTGGACGGCGCTCAACGCCGGCGTGTTTCTGATCAGAAACTGCCAGTGGTCCATGGACTTCATGGACGTGTGGGCCAGCATGGGCCCACAAACCCCAAATTACGAGAAGTGGGGCCAGGTCCTCAAATCGACGATTCCAGACAAGCAGTTCCCAGAGTCGGACGATCAGACGGGCCTGGTTTATCTACTGTACAAGGAGAAAGAGAAATGGGGGGACAAGATTTATTTAGAAGGGGAGTATTACTTCGAAGGGTACTGGGCGGAGATTGTGGGAACTTTTGATAACATCACCGAGAGGTACACGGAGATGGAGAGGGAGGCTGGGGAGCTGCGGCGGCGGCACGCAGAGAAGGTGAGCGAGCAATACGGTGCGTTTAGGGAGAAGTATTTGAGAGATGCAGGAAGTGGGAAAGGGGGTTGGAGAAGGCCTTTTATCACCCACTTCACGGGGTGTCAGCCTTGCAGTGGGGATCA